GCAAAGTATAAAAATCAGAAATTGATAAGGGACTATGTATTTAGTATTCTGCTCTTGAAAAGTTAAAAGTTCATGTAAAACTTTTTTTTTAAATCACAGCTTATTTTTATTTTCTAAAAAAAACTGTAATAACAACCCCCTTTTTTCTTTCAGAGTCAGGGAGATGGCTCACTGAGTAAAGGCGCCTGCTGCTGAGCCTGACAACTTGAATCTGATCTCCAGGACCCATATGGCAGAAGGAGAAAATCCCACAGATCATTCTGACATCTACACACACCCTGAAAATGCAATCACATGTGTGCAGCATGCTCACACACATACAAAGTACAAAAATTATTTTAAACCCCTTTTAACGTTTAAACATTTATTTTTATGAGTGTTTGCCTGTGTGTGTGTGTGTGCGCGCGTGTGTGTGTGTGTGTGTGTGTGTGTGTGTGTGTGTGTGTGCAAGACCTGTGTGTCTGTTGCCTACCAAGGCCAAAAGAGAACATCAGATTCTCCTGGTACTAGAGTTACAGATGGTTGTGAGCTGCTATGTAGGTGCTAGGATTCAAACCCAGATCTTCTCCAAGAGCAGCCAGTATTCTTAACCACAGAGCCATCTCTCCAGCCCACACCCCACTTAAAATTTGTTTTTGTTTTTTGAAACAGGGTTTCTCTGTATGGCTTTGGTGCCTGTCCTGGAACTCACTTGGTAAACTAGGCTGGTGCCTCTGCTTTCCAAGTGCTGGTGTTAAAGGCGTGTGCTACTACTGCCCAGCTCCCACTTAAATTTTTAACCCCCACATTTAATTTTAAAATGCCACATATTTGATTAGTGACTACAATGAGTGGCAACTCAGTTGACTAGCTTGAAAAGTGATCCATAACTCAAGAACCACATGTGATGGCATAACTATATAGTGGTCTACATAGTGAGTTCCAAGACAGCCAGAGCTACATACAAACAAAACAAGATTTTATTCAGTTCCTTCATAGCCACTCCCTAAGGTTAGAGCCCCCATGGCTCTGGCTATCTTCCTGCTTCAGATTCTTTAACAATCTCCCCAGTATCGTTTGGGGAAAAAATAAAAAGCTTATGACTCAGGGCACGGAAGGTAAATCAGTGGTGAAGTACTTGAAGAGCATGTGTTCCAGGGCCCTTAGTACTCCCACCCCCAAGAAAGCTAGTCTACAAACCCCTACCTCAATGTAGAATGTTCTATGATCATGACTTACGACGCCTGCTACATCTAATTAACTGATCATAACCACAATTATTGGCTGCCCTGGTGATCAGAAGCCTGGTAAAGTATGCTACCAGAAACAAGGAAAAAGCATTCTCCTATACCACCGAAGTTACACTTCCTATGCCGGTGGGAAAAGTTTCAGTAAAAAACAGAAATCTCTGAAAACAGGCAAGGTGCTGGAGAGACAGCTCAGGGGTTAAAAGCATGTACTGCTCTTGCAGAAGACCCAAATTTAATTCCCAGCACCATATCAGGAGATTCAACAACGTTGTCCTCTGGTCTCCAAGGGCACATTGTGTGCACATACTTATGTACACATACACATAATTGAAAAAATAAATGCAGCCATCAGAGTCTTCAGCATGTTAGGCAGGTTCTTTTGTTATTCTGACATCACTAAGCTGCCCAGGCTGACCTTCTCTGGTAATCCTCTACAGTCTCTTCTTCAAGCATTTTAGGAACTTTATTCAAACATTAAAAACTGCCAGTTAAACTGGGCATGATGACACATACCTTTAATCCCAGAACTTGAGAGGCAGAGGCAGGCAGATTTCTGTGAGTTCAAGGACAGCAGCCTGGTCTACAGAGAGTTCCAGGACAGGGCTACACAGAGAAACCCTGTCTCAAAAAAAAAAAAAAAAAAAAAAAAAGCAAAACAGTTAAATAATAATCAGTGTGATAAAAATCAATTGTTCCCCCTGTACATACTACTTACAGTGTTGTCTGCTAATGGTAAACATTGGGTAAGATTTGCAAAGTGTTCCTTTTCCGTGAAACTCTCATTTTTATCATAGTAACTTTATTTACTATCATGCTAAGAAAGCCACTTAGCAGCATTTCTACGGACACATAGGTGTTGGTTGGATGGATAACCTCTGCTAGAGATGCTTACCTCACAGTCAATAAAAATGAGTGCCAAAACTTAATTGCACACTGTAGTGATGTATTTAAAATTCTATAGTATCTAGCCAAAGCCTGGGAGACATCCATGGAGTGTTCTCATGTAGTCAGCAAAGTACTCATAAAACCAATAAATGCCCAGGGTAGATTGAGAGTGGAGAGGTAAAAGCAGACTTTTCTGTTATTGGAAATTTATAATGGAGCTGATCTTAGCAAATGAATCCACAATTCAACCCAAACATTAACCAATTCAAGACAGTACCTAACCCAGCACTACATCAGACATCAACATCTTCAACCATGCAGCAGCAGCCTGTGTGTGAAAGCTGCTGCTTAAAGTTTATCTTGGCCACAGGATGACCTTGCTTCATGCCCTGTCACCAGCACAGAAAAGCCCCAACTGGCATCTCTGCCCTGCATATCCCTTCAACACCTGCTTCATGTACTTGGGTGACCTCTTCTCCTAGTCCCTGCTCCCCCAACACACACTCACCTGCCTCCAAAATTCCTACTCCAGCTTGTTGGTCTGAATTGTTACACATTCTTCAAGACACTTTAGGAAGGTATGCCCTGATCCCTTCTTCCACCTTCCACACTTGACAAGGGTGGCCTGTGCTCTAATCCTCATCGCTCTATGCTAGCACACACCATGATAGAAACATACTGAAATATTTTTTAGGGTTGTTTGTTTGCTAGGGATCTAACCCAGGGCCTTAATGCAAACTAGGCAAGCACACTATGCCAGTATTTTTACTGTTCACCTCTCCCCTCAACTGGCTAACTTCTAGAGAACAGAACTGTGATTTTTTAAAAAAAAAAAAAAATTGCTTACATGTATGCGTACACATCATGTATGTGTCTAGTGCCCCGGGAGGCCAGAGAAGGACATTAGATCCCTGGACCTAGAGTTACAGACAGTTGTGAGCCACCATAGGAGTACTGGGAACCGAACCAGGGGCCCCTGCAAGAGCAGACAAATCTCTTAACCACTGAGCCAGCTCTCTAGTCCAACTTTTTTAAGCAAGTAAAAATTCAAATCCTGACAACTTCTTAACTCTCTGGTTAAGTAAAACGCAGGGCAGTGTTAGTGAACAGCTTTAATCCCAGCACTCCTAGAAGGAAGATACAGGCAGATTTCTGTGAGTTTGAGGCCAGCCTGGTCTACAGAGTGAGTTCCAATACAGGCTACAAAGCTACACAGAGAGAAAAAAAAAAACCAGAATCAGTAAACCACCAGGCATTGGTGGAGTACACCTTTAATCCCAGCGCTCAAGAGACAGAGGCTCTGTGAGTTCAAGGCCAGCCTGATCTACAGAGCAAGTTCAAGACAGCCAGGGCTACGGAGAAACCATGTCTTGAAAAAACAAATCAATAAATCTTAGAGACTCTCTTGAGATGATCACACCCATGTCTTGAAAGGGTATTGTCCTTTTAAGAGTCTCTCCCTCTCCCTTAATACCTGTGCTTAAATCTATGACAAAACTGTTTCTTAATACATTCCAACTTCATCAAAAACAAAAAGCAGGGCTGGGGAGTCGGCTAAATCTACAAAGTACTTGCCACATATGCATGAGAACCTGAGTTCAGATCCCCAGTACCCACGAAAACAAAAGGGGGGAGGGGGTTGCTTCACTTCTAACACCAGCACCAGCACTTGCAGGCAAAGACTGGGAGATCTCTGTAGCTTGCTGGATTGCTATGGGTCTCCAGGTTGACTGAGAGACCCTGTCTCAAAAACCAAGTTTAGTAAGAAACTGAAGATCTGCAACATTAGCTAGCCTCTGGCCTCCATTAGTGACACAATGTGAACACACATACCAAAAGAAACACAGGCAGTGGCCCACACCGGCAATCCCAGAACTTGAGAGGCACAGGCAGGGGGATAGCTCCAAGTTCAGAGTCTTGCCTGACCTACACATGATATTCCAGGCTAGCCAGGGCTGCACTATGAGACCCTGCCCCCGACCCCGCCAAAAATAAATACACAACCAAAATAAATAAATGGTTCCCCAAACAGTAGTTCATAAAGGCTGAACGGAAGCTGGGGATATAGTTCAATTAAACAGATCCTATCGAGCATGTGCAAACCTTAAAGTCAGTCATACTGTAAGTAGCAATCTTCTTGACAATATTGTAACCAAGGTTGTCTGTCCTCTTAACCAGGTAATGCTGTAAACTTCTCCTGCCAAAATGCCACCTCTAAACTCCACAGGCTGACGGAGCTTACCACATTCAGCCACACATTTCCTAACCACAGAGACTGGTCATCAGCTCTGAGACACAGCCAGCTGCCAGTGACCTAGTCTCCAAGACGCTTCCCTCTTTGGAGTGAACTTCCGCGAGGGGATGAAGGGACATCCCCTCCGCTCTTCTCCTAGACAGCTCGGCATCAGGGACTGCCTTCATTTATTTTTTCCCTATAAGCCGGTCTTGCTATGTGGCAAAGGCTGGCCTCAAAGTCCCGGCAATCCTCCTGCCTCAGCTTCAAGACATCTCATTCGGAGACACCCATAACCTTGCCACTACCACCTGGTAGAAGTATTCAAAACCCCGCGCCACAGCAGCCCGCGCCATCCGCGAGACCCACGCGGGGTCCGAATGTGATCCGCCCGGCCGCAACCACAACTCCGGACTCCGGCAGAAGACCGGAGCAGCGTCCTCCCGTGAGCCCGAGTCCCGCCGAGCTGTGAAGAACTCGGCCGAGGAGGAGAGGCCGAGCGCGGAGCTCCGGCGGCCTGGCGCCCGCCCGCCCTCCCTCCCGCCCGCCTAAGTGGCGGAACGGAGCGGCCCGGGGTCAGCGCCCGGCCGGCCGCCACCGCCGCCACCCCGCTCCAAGGGGAACGCGCCTCCCTGGACCCCGTCCCTCCGAACCTGGTTCGCGGCTCCGCCGCCGTCCGACAGCCGCTCCCAGCGCCGCTTCAGTCACTGGGCTCCCCGCCCCGCCCCTGCCCCCGCACGCCCCGCCCCCGGCTCCACAAGCACGCGCGCGTTGCGCACGTGTCGCGTCATTTCCGTGACGCTTCGGATTTCCGGGGTCTGGGCGCTACCCGCCGGAAAAGGTGTCCGACTCAGGAGGTTGACCGCCAGAAAGGCTGGAGGGACAGCGCTTGGGAACTTGGCACACCGAATAACCGCAAGACTCTCGCTGACGTGTCCGCGGATTGCGAGAAGCCACTGCTTCCCCTGCCATTCCTCACTTCTGCTTGCACTAGCCTGAGGGCGACAAGAAGCCCTAAGAATGGTCATAGCATGGAATAGGACATAAAAATCTGAGAGGAGCCGGGCGGTGGTGGCACATGCCTTTAATCCCAGCACTTGGGAGACAGAAGCAGGTGGATCTCTGTGAGTTTGAGGCCAGCCTGGTTCTACAAAGTGAGTTCCAGGACGGCCAGTATTGCTACACAAACCTTGTCTCGAAAAACAAGCAAACGAAAAATCTGAGAGGAATCCCTCAGTCCAGGAGACACTTCCCAGCATGTAAGGAATGCGGCCATCACTAGAAAATAAAAACATGTCTTCTTATGAGGAGTTAGCAGGGAATAAGTAGTCAGAGAAGAGGTCAGAAGGAGAAATAACACATAACTGCTGGACGGTAAAGATAGATAACAATCCCACTTTACAATTGAGATACAACCTCACCGCCTTTGTTATCTCCCCCAGGCCAAGAACCATCGGGTGGAGGAGATAAAATAATAAAAAAAAAGACAAGAGAGTCCATGAGCCCTACAAATGATCAACCCAGAACTATTAAGACATTTCCTAGCTCTGGAAAAACCACCCTTCCTGACAGAATGCCTTTTTTCTGTCTCAATTAATACCTGTTTTCACCCGAGTTTTTGTTGTTGTTGTTGTTCTGTTTTGTTTGGTTTGGTCCATGGACATTCAGTTATTATTCACCACTAGAAAGAGCCTGGTCACCTGGGTAGGTGGTCCACAGAACTGACCCTCCCAGTTTGTCTTCACAGATCTCAGGACTTTAAAAGGATTCAAGTTAGAACCTTAAAGGAATTACTCCACAAGCAACCAGGCTGTAATAATCCCCGTACTGAGGCAGTGGAGACAGAAGGACCAAGAGTTCTCATCCCAGGCCTGGGCCACTTAGACCCTGAGTGAAAATTACAAAGCGAAAAAGCCAGATGTGGTGAATTACTCTAATCTCAACACTTGAAGTTTGAGGCAGGAGGATTACAGCATGGGCTACAGCTGTGGGTTTTCCTTCCTGGCCAGAGCACATGTGGATGACGCAGGAATGTTGAGTGTAAGGGATCTTGATGGCCCCAGCTGTGCTTGACACAAGGAGCTAGGGTGCCAGACACGGTCAGACCAGCCTGAGAAAATGGCTCCAAGCTGGGCGTTTAAGGCCTATGAAGATTAAAGACATGAGCACTTGTAGGAATGAGTAGAAGGCAAGTTTTATTAAAGAGGATTACAAGTAAGAGAGAGAGATGGCTGAGTAAAGACTGGCCATTCAAGCTTGGCAACCTGAATCCAACTAACTAACATAAGGGTAGAAGGAGAGAAGCAACTAAAAAAGTTGTCCTCTGACCTCCGTGTGAGTATGGCACATGGAGCCACACGCAATAACCGGACTTTTAAAAAATTATAAAAGGAAAATTGAGGGAGACTCCCTGTTTACTCTCTATTTACTACAGAAGAAAAGTAACACTTTTGGCTCAGTGAGGGGGGCAGGGTTATTAGAAGCCATCCTACAATTTAGTATGCTCTAATTAGCTACATTGAAGAGAAAAAAAGGGCAGGTCAGGCAGTGGTTGTGCATACTTTTAATCCCAATGTCTGTGAGGTAGAGGCAGGAGGATAACTAAGTTCAAGGCCAGCCCGGTCTACAGAGTTCCAAGACAGCTAGGACTACACAGAGAAGGCCTGTTTCTAAAAACCAAATGGAGCGGGGATGGGGGAGGGTGGGGTGGGGGAAGCAATAATGCCTAGCATCGAGCAAGCCAATTGACACTGACCTTGCTTCATGAAGTTCCTTGGCTTGTTTGAACACTCCCTCCCCCTACCCTCTTTTTTCTCCCCCCCCCCCCCCGTTTTATTTTAAGATAAGGGTTTGTCGAACTTGAGAGATGGCTCGGTGGTTCTTCCAGAGGACCTCAGTTCAATTCCTAGCAACTATATGACGGGTCACAACCATCTCAAAATGAGATGTGGTTGCCCTCTTCTGGCCTGCAGGCATACATACAGGCAGAACACTATGCACAATAAATAAGTAAATCTAAAAAAATAAAAAGTAGACCAGGCTGGCCTTGACCTCACAAAGATACCCCAGCCTCTGCCTCCCAAAGTTATGGAATCAAAGGCATGTGTCACCACTGCCCTATTGTTACTTGGACTCTTAACGTTCTTTTAAACCTCAGGTTCATTTCAGTGCATTATGTATGAACATTTTGCAGTTTTCGTCACAGGCCCTTTTCCTTCCCTACCTATAGAAGGCTAGTTCCTGCCCCCCAGAGGCCCTAGGTTCAAGCCTCAGAATTAAAAAAAAAAAAAACCTTTGAGTATAACTGAGACCTAAAAGTTAAATGAGTTAATAAGTTAGCCAGTGTCATACAATAGTGGAGGTACAAACAGAACCTGGTCTCAGTTCCTATTCAGGATCATTAGAGGCAACAGTTCAATACTGTCTGCCTTGTGACGTTTTTTTAAAAAGCCACTCTTGGCTTAAAGATTCTGTAGACTGGGCCAGGTGTTGGTGGTGCACACCTTTAGTCCCAGCACTCTGGAGGCAGAGGCAAGTGGATATCTGTGAGGCCAGCTGGTCTACAGAGCTAGTTCCAGGACAGCCTTCAAAGCTGAGACAGAGAAACCTTGTCTCAAAAAAACAAAGATTCTGTAGACTGATTTTGGAGAGTTGGAATGTTGTAGATCCATATCTCAGACTGTCTTCAGTCTGCTTAATGGCCATTTATGGCTCAATCTGTCTCTGACTTAATATCCTTTTTGACCATAGGGTAAAATCTTTGGCATGTATTTGCACATTCCAATCACAGCTTCCACCGATCCAAAAGCCCAGAATGTCAACAGACAGCAGCCCAACCCTAAAGCAGAGATTTACCCCCCACTTTGCTCTAACTCCCCAGCCAGCTTGGCAAGTGCATTCATGTATGACTATGAAAAATTAACATAGGACGGTGCATGCTTACAATCCTGGTACATGGGAGGCTGAGGCAGGAGGATCAGGAGTTCAAGTTCACCATCAGCTCCATGGTGAGTTTGAGGCCAGCCTTCTCTACATGAGACCACATCTTAAAAAAAAAAAAAGTTCCAGTAACCACTTCAGTGGTGATTGCATCATCTGGGAGGGCCATGGTCACTCACATTTGGCTGCAAATACACTCGTTTCCTTTGGAGTGAGTGCTGTCCTGTGTCCACAGGATCAATACAAGATGCCACTTACGGTGTGTCTAAGTGCAGTCACCAAACACCAACACTGAGTGGGGATTCCTGGACTCCCTTATGCAGTTTTCCTTAAGTGCCTATTGTTTGATGGATTATAAAAACAAAGGTACTGAGGAGTTAAATTCTAGGGGACAGGGCTAGTGAGACGGCTAACTTGGTAAACACACTCAACCACGCCCAATGACCTGAGTTCAGTCCTTGAGACCAGGTAGTAGAGCATAACTGATTCCTGCAAGTTGTTCTCCATCCTCATGTATGACATGGCACACACATGTGCAAGTAATACACATGCACACACATATAAATGTCTTTTTAAAAAACAGCTGGGTATGATATGCATGCCTTTAGTCCCAGCACTTGAAAGGCAAATGCAGCAAGATCTATGTGAGTTCAAGACCAGCCTGATCTTCAGTGTGAGTTCCAGAACAGCCAGGGCTACATAGAGAAACTGTATCAAAAGATAAAAATAAACAAATAAAAATGCTGTTAAGCTCTAAGTGGTGGAGCCAACAAAGAAACATATATTAGCTAGTGATGTGTGAGGGAAAATGATACAGGGAACGGGGAATAATACACTGGAGAAATTTGAATTTGGGTCTATCTGTCATAGCACAAACTGTTAATAATCAAGTTGCTGAAGCAGGAGAATTGTGAGTTGGAGTCCAGCCTTGACTGCAAAACAAGTCTCCATAGGAAGGAAGGAAGGGCGGTCAAGTGGACAAGTCCAAGGTCAGCATGGGAAGGAACTAGCTAAAGCATGGACCCTGGAAGTTCTGACTCATTGAGACCATTAACAGAACAATCTACCCCTCATGTCTTTACCATTCCTCTGCCAATTTTGATGTTGCTTACTGATTTAAGGGGATGGGGGGGGGGATTATCATACTGAGTACTTTCTGTTCCAGTCATGAATGGAAGCCTGTTATTAAGTTACTATCTTTGTTAAAAACTGGCTTAGTACCAAATTGATTAATCTGAGTTTGTTCATAAATTTTCATTGCCCTATTTATTTTTTAAACTTAGTTTGTATGTTTATGGGGGTTTTGCCAGCATGTATGTCTGTGTATCACATGCATGCAGTGCCCCAAGAGGCCAGAAGAGGGCATCAGATTCTCTGGGACTCCAGTATCAGAAGGTTGTGAGCTGTCATATGGCCGCTGGGAATTGAACCAGGGTCCTCTGGAAGAACAACCTGTACTCTTAACCAATGAGCCACCTCTCAAACCCCCTGCCTAGCTTGTCTTTGGTGATCCCAATGTCTGAGCTCCACGTTTTCTTGCCTCATCTTACACTTGTGTCCACTGGCTTCCTTTTTCCCTCCAGTTTTGTGTTGGTCTGAAACACAAGTTGGGTAGGAGGGAAGGGGATAGAGAATTACCTTATAGAAAAGAAGGTCCTGTGGAGTTGATTTCATGGCTTTTCCTGGGAAGGCATGAACAAAATGTCTCTTCTCCACAGACAGGGCACATACAACAGACCAAGGAAACTGTCCTACCCAAGCCTGCCTTGAACCACTGTGTTTAAATAGGAAAACTTAC